TTTGGAGACACTCTAACACACAGCCATTTCCTAGTTTGAGTGAGCCCTGAGCAGAGTGGGGAGCTGTGGCTTTCCCTTTTGGTGGGTGGCTGATCTCTAGAGTCATCAACAGGAATTTACTAAACCTATCTCAGTGCTGGACCATTTTTATCAGGGCTCTAGGTAATTAGTTGTTCAATGCTATTTATATGCCCCTGTTTGTTGGTGGCATTCACTGAGGTTCTTCTTTCTGAGCATAGACCATTAATCCTGGTGGTTACATGGAAGAAACAAAATCAATCAAAACCAACTCAGTTTTTTGTTTAAAAGCTTGCAATACAGGAAAAAAAGATGCAACACATACAAGAGGGATTCAAATTCATCTGACAGTATTTATGGATGTACTGATGAATATATGTCATTTAACACTGTGCAATAAGAGAATGCTGTCATCCCAAAATATTGTATATGAGCAAATGCTAGATAGAAGTTTTATTTTCTTGTGTTGCTTTTGCTGGATCCCCTAAAGAAATGTTTCCTGGTTCTCTGATAGGTCATTTCCCCACTATGGATATTTTATTATTTTGCATAATTGGTGGGTCCTTCTGCTGTGGACTGAATATGTAGTCAAGAGCTGTATAATCCTAAATTTTGTACTGTGGTCTTTCATGTAAAGATAAGCAAAAACAGAGCTGATAAGCAAAAAGCAGATCAGTTTTGTAGTTAGAATCTCTGCAGCTCCTGTCATTGAAGTGTGGCTAGTCATACCCTAAGAGAAGGTAGTAATAATGATAATGAGAATTGTTTATGGTTTAATGTTTGTATTTCAGGTTATTGGAAGATCAAATTACCTATTCAGTTTAGAGCTAAAGTTGATAAGCTTTGCTTATATAAATTGGGTCATTTACTGAATTATATTTAGGTGTTGAGCCTTTACCTGTGGTTGTAGGGAAGGGTCCTGGGAAACTATAGACATTCAGTCATTATCAGTTTTTCATTCATAAACCCTCAACTAATGGCAGAGACCTCCCATTTGATCCTGCCATTACTGGGTATTTAGTCAAAACAAAAAAAGTCATTTGACCATAAGGACATTTGCCCTTGAATGTTTATAGCAGTTTAATTCACAACTGTTAAGATGTGGAAACAACCCAGGTGCCCTTGAACCCATGAATGGAATAGTAAACTGTGGTACATGTATACCATGAATACTAATCAGCCTTAAAGATGGAGATTTTGAATCTTTTGTAACAACCCGGAAGGATTTGGAGAACACTCTTCTAAGTATCACAAGAATGGGAAAACAAGCATCATGGGTGGTGCCTGTGGCTCAATGGAATAGGGCGCTGGCCCTATATGGCAGAGGTGGTGGGTTCAAACCCAGCCCTGGCCAAAAAAAAAACAAAAAACAAACAACAAAAAACAAGCATCACACATACTCAATACTAACTTGAAACTAGTATATTAACAACCATGGGTTCACATGAGAGAAAAACTCAGTTAAATTCAAGAATGGGGGAGGGGGTGTTTGGTAGGTTCCCACCCAACGGGTACAATACATAGATAGGTATGTGGCACATTTCCTGGGTGATGGTCAGAACTACAGCTCAGACTTTACCTGACAAGTGCAAACAATGTACCTATCATAGGTACCCTCATATATTTCCTACTTCATAGAGGCACTTTCAGAGATTTAGGAGTACTTGGGTTAAAAATCAGATGAAAAGTGTTTAATGGGATATAGTTAGTGAGAAAAGAAATCATTCTCTTAGGCCTTTGCCCAACTCATGAGAACCATTTTACTTTTCCCAGGGTTGAATGCTGGGTAGCTCATTCTCTGCAGCTGTGGCCCTTGTCAGGCAAGGTAAATCACATCCTAAGACAAGAAGAAAATGACAGAGGGCTAAGGTTGCTAGTCACAGGACAAATGCCTGACTTTGTCCCTGAGACACGTCAAAGGTCCAGGGTGAGTCGTTAAGACATAGCATGTGGACTTTTCATAGGATATACTTAGACTAGCAAGCTGAAATTCTTAAGATTTTTAAACTATGAATGCTGTATTGGCATATCCCAAATAATTACAATGGTCCCTCCCTTTTCCATAGTTTCAATTACCTGTGGTTAACCATGGTTTGAAAATATTAAATGGAAAATTCTAGAAATAATTCATAAGTTTTAAATTGTGTGCTGTTTTGGGTAGTATGGTGAAGTCTCACACTGTCCCACCATGTCCTTTCTTCATCACAAGAAGGATGATGACAGTGCAGTATGAGATTATTTTGGGGGGAGGGAGAGTGGACCACACTCATGTAACTAACTTTTATTACAGGATGTAGATATGATTAGTCTATTTTATTATTAGTTGCTGATTTCTCAGTTGCTTTATTATAAATTAAACTTTATCCCAAGTATACAATTATAGGAATAAACACACTGTGCATAGGGTTTGGTTACTATTCCCAGTTTCAGGCATCCACTGAGGATCTGATGCACCCCTTTTAGGTAAGGAGGGACTACTGTATGTGAAAGAGAAGAAATCCTAGTTTTTGTGTTGGTGTTAAGAGATTAAAAGGTATATTATATACATCTGAATATGAAGCAAACTTTGAATATAAAATAATCTTCCCCTTTTTACAAAAATAAAAATTATCAGAAAATATTTTTTGGGGGGGGGAACGAATACATATATTGAGAACCTACTGTGTATCCGGAATTATTATTTTAGTGTGTGTGTGCGCGTGCACACGCATGGGGTGGGAAACACTTGGGTGACAGGAGACCGTGGATTCAGATGAGGCAAGGGAGTGAGTCATGTAGTATCTGGGCAGGAGCATGGAGTCAGAGACCTCACGGGAGGAATGTGCCTGGCACGTTGAAGGAACAGCAGAGAGGCCAGTGTGGCTAGAACAACAGGAGTGAGATTGGAGATAAAAAATCAGAGGAAGGGAGGTGAGGATAGAAGATTAAAATCCAGATTGTGGCTCACAACTGTAATCCTAACACTTTGGATGGGTGAGGCTGGAGGTCAGGAATTAAAGACTAGCCTGGGTAACATAGCAAGACCTTATCTCTAAAAGAAAAATAGGAAAATTAACCAGGTGTGTTGCTGTGTGCCTGTAGTCCTAGCTATTTGGGTGGCTGAGGCAGGAGGATCACTTGAGTCCAGTGAGGCTGCAGTGAGCTACGGATATGCTACTGAACTCTCATGGGGGTGACAGAACAAGAAGACACTGTCTTAAAAAAACAAGAAAGAAAAAAGAAAAGCAAAAAAAGTAAAACCCAGATTGACTATCTGAAGGTCATAGGGAGGATTTGTCATCGCAGTACAAATTTAGTCTGTATGTCTATCATCTGCAGATGGCCAGATAGGATACTTGTAAGGCTCTTTGTTTTTTTTTTTTTGTTTGTTTGTTTTTAATTAAATCATAGCGATGTACATTAATGCAATCATGGGGTACAATGTGCTGGTTTTATATACAATTTGAAGAATCTTTGTTTTTAATGAAATGAGCTATTGGAGGATTTATACATTAGTAATGTAGGGAGATGAGATCTATCCTCTATCCTTTTAGGGTGTCTGGCCAGGACTGAGGTGAGATAGATTACCAGGAGCAAAGCAAACCAATTTTATTTAGCAACTTTAACATATGGCCAGGAGCCTGCACAAGATAAATGAAGACTCAAAGGAGCAGCTAGGGCCAAATGCCTACTTACATACTGGGTGGAGTACACAAAGAGCAGTAAATTGTGACAATGTGACAAAACAGGGGTTTGGGCTAGGGTGTTTTTAATTGTGTAAAAGCGAGGAAGAGGATAAAGATGAGTTTAATAACTAGTGAGTATGTCAGGTTACTCTTAACCTCAGCGCCCCGTCTCTGGCGATAAGGATGTTTTCCTTCTTCCTTGATATAAGGAGGGCGCCTTTCCCTTGCGAGTTTTATCTCCTGCTTTCAGGAAGAAAGAGAAAGGTCAGAGCACCTTTTTCGCATCTGCTGTTTTTCAAGTCTCTTTGACTCAAGATAATCAATATACCAAGATGGCATACTTTTGGGTGGCGTATTTTGATCCCCTACTGTAATAGGACAAGTTTAAAAAAGGATCATTTTGGATCTTGAGAGTCGATTGAAGGGGGCAAGGGAAACCAGTTAAAAGGCTGTTGCAGTAAAGAGGGTGAGCAATGATGAATAGTCTTCTCAGCCTCTGACTGTACCAATTTGGTAAATCCGTCGTCTTGTTAATGGGCATTTGGGATGTTTGCAGTTTTTGAGTGTTGTGACTAAAGCTGCTGTGAATATCCATGTATAAGTCCTTATATGGATCCGCCTTCCAGTCTTCGAGATAAATCTTCAGGCGTGTAATGGCTGGGTGGTGAGGCAGGTCTTTATTTAACTAGTAAGAAAATGCCAAGCAGTGTTACAAAGCTGTGGTATCACCTGAGGTTTCTGCATAGCATGTATGAGAGTTCTGGTGGCCCCACATCCCAGGTCACTTGGTCTTTTCCTGATGTTAGCCATTCTAATAGGTATGTCCGAGCTTATTGTGGTTTTAAGTTGTGTTTTCCCTAATGGCTAATGCTGATGAGGAGTGTCTGGGTTTTAATCTCCTCATCCAAAAAACTGATTTTATCCTCACTGTTGGAATTTTAGTTTCTTTTAGCTGAGGCTAACACTTTCAAAAAAATATTCAAAGGGATATATGTTATGACTTAAAGGTTGACTGTGGTTTATGGAGTCTCGTGGTTTTGTGTTTTTGGAAACTAAAATGGGAGAGTATAACATGGCTATTAAATTTCAGTTTCAATTAATTTTCATTAAATGTCACTAAATTTCAATTTTAACCTTGAAGTCATTTATGTCAGGTAGTGTAAGTGAAGTTTATGCTCTGTCTCAGATAGGGGCTGACACGGTCTGCATCTTATTTAGGGTGAAGATACATTCCATGCGATGATACTTGGGTCTGGGTAAACGTAAAATATCTCAAAATGTTCAACTAAAACGAGGATTTGAAATTGTTTTCCAGGTTCCTGATGTGATCAGCAGCATACGGCAGTTATCTAAAGCGGCCATGAAAGAGGACGCCAAGCCCAGCAAAGATACTGAAGATGCCTTTTACAACTCTCAGAAGTTCGAAGTCTTGTACTGTGGAAAGGTGACAGTGACCCACAAGAAGGCCCCGTCCAGCCTCATCGATGACTGCATCGAGAAGTTCAACCTGCATGAGCAGCAGCGCCTGAAGATCCAGGGGGAACCACGCGGCTCGGACCCCGGCGACGACCTGGCCGTCCTGGAGGAGGTGGCAGCGCCCGGGTGCCCTGGAGATGGCCTGCCCGGCGAGGCGGACAGCGGGGTGGTCAGCTTACACCCTGGCCTGCCTGGCGGGGCCAGCCAGCCTGCTCTGTCCAGCTCTCGGGTGTGTTTCCCGGAGCGGATTCTGGAAGATTCCAGCTTTGATGAGCAGCAGGAGTTCCGGTCTCGGTGCAGCAGCGTCACCGGAGTGCAGCGGAGAGTTCCCGAGAGCAGCCAGAAACCGCAGCCGCGCCGGAGGCACGCGAGTGCTCCCAGCCACGTGCAGCCGTCGGACTCGGGGAAGAACAGGACGATGCTCTTTCAGGTACCGCCTGGCCGGCCGGGCGCGCTCTGGGTGTCCGCAGAAGCTGCTGGACGGGAGGTGCCTGGCTCCTCCCAGTTCCTCGTCCTGCTGACCCCCAGAGGCCGTGTCTACATAACCTATTATCTGACTTTTATTTGAAACTAAAATGGGAGAGTCTAACACTGCTGTTAAATTTCAAGTAATTTTCATTAAATTTCAGTTTGAACCTTAGAGTCATTTATGTCAGGGAAACGAATAACATTCTTCCTTAAATTCACATAAGGAAAGTGAAGAGAGAGAGAGAGAGAAAGAGAACAGGAAGGAAGGTAGTGGGGCTAGAGGCCAGCTGAAGTGTGGATTGTAAGAAATCAGGGATCCCCTAGGGAAGGAGGAGAAAGAGGCCCTTCACTCGGCGTCTTAGAAACCTGTGGAAGGAAGGAAACTAGAAGATCACAATCCATCACAGGCATTTGCCTTGCATTGATTCCTAAATAAAAACCTAACTGTAGAAAGGCAATCTTGCAGAGAGTTTAAAGGTATAAATCGGGGATAGTGTGATTTGGTGTGGAGAAACAAAGGCAGGAATTTCTAGAAAAAAACCAGAGAAGTCCAGAGACTCAGTGGTGCATTTTCAATTGAGAATACTCCAGTTTACTCTGTGTCACCCAAAAGAGAAGGTTAAAGGATCACCATTGGCCCTGAAAATGTGCTGAATTGGCTGTTAAAATAATTTCATACAAGCTATGTTATTGTCCTAAAAGATAAATCTTAATTCTAAAAATAATTTTTGAATGTTGTACAAGGTATAGACTATGTCAAGTTCCACTTAAAAGAACTTAATTCAAAATAATGCCTTATAGAGAAAGTCTTTAATTCTCAGTTTGTCAGATTTGAGGTTTCTTGACCAAAATAAATAAATAAAAAGAGTGGCTGTTCTTTTATCCTGTTACAAAGAACTCCTGAAAAGGAAATCCCACAGTGTCCTTTGGTAAACAGCCTCAGTATGTAATATTTGCTTTATCAGAAGTTCATGTTTTTTTTTTTTTTTTTTTGTTCTGTGCTATTGCTGGGCATGTATCAAGACTCAGGAGAGACTCTTTGGTGATAAGTTAACTCAGTTTCTCTTCACTGGGCTCTCAGATTTGTTCTTCTCAGCTAGTCCCAGTCCTTGCTGTTAATTTTTCTGAATGGTTGTTTATTTTCAGAAATGTTAACTTATCAGCCCAATGACCTACATACCATTTTGCTCACCATTTGGGAGAGTGTATGGTTATGACTTATTAATAAGTAACTGATATTTTAAAAAATCATAAGTTGAGGAAAGGTTGTATTTTTTTTTTTGAAAAAGATAGTTGTTTCTAATCTGAGAAAACATGTTTTTGTATCTTACATTTGAAGACCAATTTAATTTTCCTGATTTTCTGACAAAGGGAAGAAATGTTTTGAGGCAGCTGCTGTTTGGAGTTAAATTATTGGTTGGATGGAATGTTGGAAAAATGGCAGTGTGTGATGGGTACATCTGGGATACAGCATTTGAACCTGTACTCTTCGTTGAATAAGTAATTGTGATATATTAGATGCTTGTGAATTGAAATTAATTGGGATGCTTTTATTTTTAAGGTTGGACGATTTGAGATTAACCTTATCAGTCCAGACACTAAATCAGTTGTGCTAGAAAAGAATTTTAAAGATATCTCCTCTTGTTCTCAGGTATGTATCAAAGTAAATGGCAGTATTTGAAGGGACCAATTAAATCAGTAACAGGGCTTAAACCCCTTTAAATTTTTAATGTTTTTTGAAATATTACCTTTTTTTAAAGAGAATTTTGTCTTAAACTGAGTGCATATGTGTTTGTGTCTAACAAAATCCTATCCAGCACCCTGGTATCTTTTACAACAATTTGTCTTGATTTGAGTCAACTCTTTGTCTTTGTAATGTCACTTCATCACATCTTTTCCACTGATGGAATTTTTGTGGTGGTGAGTTCCTTTGAAAATAAGTTCACAGTTCGTGTTCCCCAGAATCTCGGGTTGGGGGACCCGTGGGTGTGACTGAGTCACGCTTGCTCTTTATACCATGGTAGGTCATAAAAGGAGAACCAGGAGCTTCAACTTGTTTTCATGTAAATGCTAAATTTTGAAAATAAGGTTTGGGTATTTTTATTCTTTTATCTGTTTTTAATTCACAAACTGTGTGTTCGAATGCTTTAAAGATAATGTGGTCAGATATGTAGAAGATTATCTGAGTAGGCATAAAACTAAGGTCCTAATGGCCAAAGTAATAATTTCAAAATGTATCTAGAAGTTTAGAGCTGCCTAACTATATTGTAAGCATAAAAAGGAATTTTTGAAAATCAGGATAAAAGGTGTATCTCAACAGAAATGTGGGAAAGTTAACTTTGAACCTCTGAGGGGTTCCCTAGAATTGAGAATTCACTTCTTTGCAAGCCTAGTGACTTAATGTGCCTTCAAAGAGCTGAATCTTGCCATAGTTCCTACTTATATTTTAATGTTGAAAAATCATGACCGCCTATTAGTTTTTCTTTGTTTTCCTTCTTTTAAAAAAATTTTTAGAGTCAGCATTGCTATAGATACAATATTCTTTTTTTTTTTTTTTTTGAGAGATAGAGAGAGAGTCTCACTTTGTAGCCGTTGGTAGAGGGCTGTGGTGTCACAGCTCACAGCAGCTCTTGGGCTTAAGCGATTCTCTTGCCTCAGCCTTCCAAGTAGCTGGGACCACAAGTGCCCACCACAACGCTGGGCTATTTTTGTTGTTCTTGTTGTTGTAGTTGTCATTGTTGTTTAACAGGCCCACGTCAGGTTCCAACCCACCAGCCTATGTACGTGGCCAGCACCCTAACCACTGAGCTACAGGTGCCAAGCCTAGATACGATATGAAGACTGTCAGGAGAATTATCTGTTTTACTGCTTTCCTCAGTCTTAGGCAATGTGGTTCGCTTCTGATATTTTGTTTTAATGTTTTCTGTTATATGGTGACATTAAATTGTGTCGTGTAGATAAAAAATTTCTTCTCTAGTAACTTAGAGTGGAAGAAGTTGAATATAGAAATTTGATAAAGATTATTTTCTCTAAGTAAAGACGAACTTATTCAGCATTCTTGTAATTGCCAGTCCACTTGGGGTCCCTGCCAGATCTAAGCTGTATGAGGGCAGGTGTCTCAGGCTGTGCTGTCTTATTCTATAGGGTGTCCGAGCCAGATCTGCTCAGATAGCTCCAACGCTGAGGTGGTCAATACATATTCAATAACCGAGCACTTCGGGCGGCGCTTGTGGCTCAATGGAGTAGGGCGCCAGCTCCCTATGCTGGAGGTGGTGGGTTCAAACCCAGCCAAGGCCAAAAAAAAATAAAATAACTGAGGACTTCCTACGTGTTGGGCCTTGCGCCAGGTGCTGCAGAGAAAGTGAGTGACCCAAATGCAGGTCTGCCCCCAGAGCACCAGGCGGCATCCTCAAAACCTGTGACTCCCACCCCACGCTCCCTAAGTCTCCCAGTCCCAGTGCAAAAACTCACAAGCTCCCCTAGCATCCAAAGGGAAAAAATAATAGAGAAAAGAATCAGTCAAACCAAATATATAAAATTGGGAGTTGAAATAGGAAATTTTGCTTTGAAATGATTTTTGCAGTTGAAATATCATTTTTGCTTTTTTAAATTTTACTTAAAGGTAAGCTTTGAATTCTGATGTTCTGCTTCAACAAAGAAATGAAACAAAAGCATGAAGGAAATTTGTGCAAGGCCTTTCTTTAATCAGAGTAATTGTCAGGTTAACCATCTGCTCCGCTCTGAGTGGCCCTGCTCTTTTATGACTCTTTTCCACAGAGCTGGACTGATAGAACGTGGCTGTGTTAGGGAACCGCCTGCTTTTTAACACTGCACACCTACAAATGTTTCTTTCTTCAAAATCTGTAGGACTGTTTGCCTGGCAAGCATGAACAGGGAGTGGTTTTCTTTACTGGAAACATTGCCACTGCCTAAGGACTGACTGGAGCTGATGAGGTCCTGTGAATTTTTCCCATTTAGTACTAAGTTAGTAAAAGGTACAAGTCATTAATAAGTTGTACTGTATTGAGGCCAGTGTGGCTGGAATAGGGGAGTGAGAAGGGAGTTCAGTAAGAGCAATAAGTCAGAGGCAGAGATTAAAATCCAGGTTGACTATTTGAAGGTCAAATGGGGAATTTGTGGCCCTAGTGAGTATTTGATCCTTATGTCTATTGTATGTGGGTGGCTTACTTCCATCTCGTAAATTGCAAATTTACTTCTCCTTACTAGATTGTTTTCTTCTTTACTAGAGTTGATTTCCTTTTTCTATATCCACTGGATATAGTGAGCTTATTATAATAAAGGTAGTAGTTACCATTTATCCAGCTTTTCAGCAACTAGATTTCTTAATTCTACATCTCAAACATTCCTGAGCATAATTGTCTTACAATGAAAAATTGATGCTCAGACATAATTATTATCAGCTGAACACAATATTGCACACTTGGCAGATTAGTTCAACCAAGATTTAAGCACAGATCTAACTTGAAAGGTTTTTGCTTTTCGCTTGGATTTAGGTGACTTCAGGGCAGCTTTAAATTTTTTGCCTACAAGACTTTTACAAGTATTGTGCTTGCTGTTAAAATAACACAGTGTTGTCTACATACTGGTATGTATGTATTCTGACTGAATGAAAGTCATAGATGATTCTGAATTTGTTACTTAATATAGCTGAGGTTATTTAGCCTGGGTCCAGGAAGTACACATACAATGATTCGTGAATGTCAACACCTGACTGGCACCTGCAATGATTTCTTTAACACATCAGTCTTTTAGCAGTGTGGTTCCTTGAGTGTCTATACATAGACAGATATTTTGGTATTTTTCTGCATACTTTAGGAATTTGCATGCCATTTAATTCTAATATTGTCAGCATTAGTTTTTCTCAGATCTTAGCCTCTACAGACAAGAACAGGGTTTAGGATGACTCTTCAGACTGCCTAAGAAGACAATAAGTTGAAAACTCCATTTTTGCAAACATAGAGTACCAGTTTTATTACAAGATACAGTGGATTATACCATCAGTATTTTTCCTCCTGTGGCCCTGAGTCAGAGTTTTATCAGAAACACAATAATCTGAGTTGCTCCCGCTTTATTTGGTGTGTCAGCAGGCCGTGTGTGTTTCTCATGATACTATGTCCTCCCTTCGTTGCTGTGAGAGAGGAACCCATGGAACTGTGAAAGTGTAGTTACTGCACAGCTATGATGCTGATTTCCGTGTTGGTGATGGCAAGGGCACACTCCCATCAATCCTGTCTTGTACTTCTCTCCTGCCGTCTAGGGTATAAAGCACGTGGACCACTTCGGCTTTATCTGTCGGGAGTCTGCAGAGGCTGGGCTGAGCCAGTACACTTGTTACGTGTTCCAGTGTGCCAGTGAGTCGCTGGTAAGTGGGATTACTGCTGTCCGTGTGCTCCTGCCGACACATCCGTTAAACAGAAGACTCATCTCTCAGGAACCCAAGCCTTGCAAAATAGCTATCAGTGGGCAAAGAAGAAGACATCTAGAAATATGTTTTTGTCCTTCAAACCTGCACAATAGTAGAAAAACAAAAACAAATGGTCATGGTAATTTTTAAGCCTAGATACTTTTTCAGCAAAAGTATCTGAGTTTAGCAAACCCGGTCCTATTACCAGAAGTATTTTTACAAGGTAGGAAAAGATGAATTGGACAAAAGCTGTTACTTTTTCCATTGCTCATATGAGACGATAAGGAAGTCACTCATCTCCTATTTTCTTATAATAGCCTATCTCAGAGGAGATAATATTTACATTCGCAGGGTAGAGAGCTAATTTTGTTCTTTTCCTTTATTTTTATTAGCTTCCATCTTCATTTCTTAAATACATTGTTCTTTGTGGTCTTGTTTTAACCTTTATTTCCTTTCCTGAGAATTTAAAAATGAATCCTCTGTTCAACACCGTCCCCCTCCTGCTTTGTATTATGGGGACAGTTGGAGTTCAGGAGGAAATATGTAAGGCAGGTTTGGAAATGTATCTAAGCAACTAATGTTGATGTTTTCCCCCCTCAGAGTTTTTTTTATTTATTCTTCCACCCATGGCGCTCCCTTAGCCATTTTAACACAAACCTTCAGATATATGCATCATCGTTCTTTGAAAAGTTTACAGAAAGGATTTTCTTAGATGTATGATCATTCCACCACCATGAGACACATACAGTTTAGACAAATATAAACCATCCAGGCAGCATTGTCCTTGAGTCCTTGGTTTGTGGTATAATCGTCCCTTCCCAGTGTGGACCCTGAGATTAGGAATGATAAAGAAGTGGGAGAGATTTGGTCCAAAGGCACCCTGATGGTTTCCAGCTTTTCTCTCGGGAATATAAAACTCCCATCCTTAACAATTTCCTCTCCTAGAGAATTCCATTTGCCTTTCCTTCTCCCTCTAAATGATTAACCATTCCCACGAAATATCCACACATTGGTATCAAGGTGACCCTTGCAAAATAGGTTCAGTTTAGGACTTGGGATGGAAATTTAAGGTTGTCCTTACGTCAATGACAGTGAACGAACTGGGAGTAGAGGAGCACCCATGGGGAAGAAAGAGAAAGAAAACCAAAGACAGCCAACGCCTCAACACTGGGCAATACCAGCCAGTTCAGAGTTGGGTAGAAAAAGGCTGTGTATTTTTTTTACCCACACCCTGGCTCCCACCTCTCACCTCACCGCTCCTCCCTGTGAGCCTCTTCCCATCTAAGGTGCATCCTTCTCCCGTGTTCGGGATCCCTGATTCTCCTGCCCTTCCAGAACCTGCCACGCGTGTATATTCCATGTTTTGTTTTGGCTGCATCATTTACTCAGCTTCCTTGTTTCGAAACCCAAATGGATTCCTTTTCACCTATGTCCGGTGTTCACCCAGTCTTAGTGAATCAAAGATAGAAATGTCTCCCTCATCCATTCCTCCTCCTCTTCCTCTTGGCTGGCGTTCATCTTCCTTCCTTGGACTCCTGTAGCAGTGTCCTAACTAGTCTCCCAGTCACTGATTTAAACTGCCATCTACTCATTTCCTACCAGATTTCCTCTGTAGAACCTATTTTATGCCTCACCATGAAGGGAAAACATCCAGATTACCTGGCCAACACGGAAGGCCGTCTCCTTTCTCCTGCCTTCTCTGCTGTAGTTTCACACTCAGCTCCGAAGGTCTTGCCCTTTCGTGATGTCTTCACACATCTGTTCTGTCTCACTAGCTGTTCTCTGGGCATGACCACCAAGCCAGGTGTGATGGTTGACATGATGCTGCTTTTAGTTTGGTTTGCTAGTGAAAGCAGCACATGGGACCCACCCACCTGAGCTCCAGGCTTCCACGCATGACTGCAGCTCTCTGCAGGCCCCGGTGGCTCGCAGAAGTGCAGCTGGAGCTCAAAGTTGGGTAGAAAAGCATGGTGTATTTTTTCACCCACACCCAGGGTTCCCTGCCCATGCATTGCCCACCTCACACCTCATTCACAGAAGTGCACCTGAAGCCCAGATGTCACGGCTCAGTGCTTGGAAGGAGGAGTGCCTTGTCAGAGGAAGCCGGGAACCTGCTGCCTTTCACATTGTCAGGCGGGGAAGTGGGTCAGGTCAGCCTCAGCCTTCACATGGTACTGAACAGGGCGCTTGTGCCATGCCTTGGGGATCTTTCACATGCTTTTTCTTACTGCTTGATGGGAGTAAAGCAGGCCTGGTCCTGCTCTCCTATAACCTGAGTACCCTTCCGCTTCCTGTTTTACTACATATGTTTCAGGACCCACATGAAATAGCACATCCTACAGAAGCCTCTTGTGACCCCTTTCCCGGGAACTGGCTTCTTGGTTTGCTCTGTGTCACTGTCTTATTGCACCTGTTCACAGTCTCTAACCTGCTTGCCTGTGCCCACACTCGCTTGTGTGTTTGCATAACTATCTGCTCCTCTAGACTGTGAATGTCCCAGCTAGGGTCATCTCTTATTCATGCCGTGTTACTGGGCTTCTAGGATCACAGGTGTTTGAAGTTTTTGTAGTTTGAATGATTGATTGGCCTCCTTGCTCTTCCCTTCAGGCAGTCATGTTCCAGGGTGGGTTAATCTCTGATCACTGGATAGCTTGCACTGAAAGGAAAACCATGTAAAACTGTATTTCCAGTCTATTTCACAACAGGTTTTGGTTTGCTTTTAGTTTTTAGTGTTTTCGTTTTTCCTTCATGCGTACAGAATGAGTTTTGGAAACAGAGGCTCACAGTAGACAAGTCTGGGTACATCCTGCCTTTTCCCACCTAACCTGCTTTGTGACTACGGCAACAGACCAGACTGGCCGTGAATGCCTTCCTGTTTCCTGAAGCTGTGTCAGAGTCTGAGTTTTGGCATCATTTCTCAGTAACAGGCCTATGCTAGGATCTTTCAAACCCTGTTTACTCTGATTATATCAGTAAGCGTCTTAACTGAATAGTGAAGACACCAGGACTGAAAAAGCAAGAACAAGCAAATGTAAATTTTCTGCATAACAGAGAGTAGCTTAGGCAGCTGACTTACAGATAAAATAATATAGTCCATTGAATACTATCAGTCTGAGCGGTGTTAGGATTGATGTGACTTGTGTAAAACAAAGTATTGCCAAACCTAGTGTGCTGATTTATCTTCTCTGAGTAGCAAGAACACACAATTAGTATTATTTTCTTTGCGTCTTTGAAACAATTACTATGAATTTGTAAGCAGTGCGGCCTTCTGAGGGGCCCTGGAAGTTACTCTGAAGTTTAGAAGGCTCAGTTCTTCCTTTTCTCTTTCCTTTCCTCCCTCCTTCTCTTTTTCTCTCCTCTCTCTTTTTAAAAATAGCTGCTGGCAGGTAGCTTATTCCTTTTTAATCAACTCTTGAGATTTGTAGAAAATATTTCTTCAACTCTTGAGATTTGTAGAAAATATTTCTTCACTCCAAAATTAAAGAGTGTGCAAAGAGTATAGGTTAGTGCTACTTGTAGATGAAGGAAGGTAAACGCCACAGATGTAGACAAAAATATTCAAGGAAAGTAAAAGCATAACCAAAAGGAAAAAAAGATAGATCCAAACTACTCAAGATCTAGAACTTGCCTGGAGTTAATCGTTAATGAAATAAACATAGTATTTTAATTAGCATATTGATAGAGGAATGAACTATAAAGTCCAGGAAGTTATCTCTTCCTTCGGGTGTTGAGTGTACTTGTAAAAGTAAATCTCACAAAGCTCAAGAGAAGTGGAGAGGGTGGCACATCAAGAGTCAAGTTCAGGTTTGAGATCTGCATTTTGTAATAATGAAGAAAAGTTGCAGTTGTTTCAGAGAAGAGCACTCACCTATGAAAA